CGGCGCAAGCTCATTGCAAGTTCACTACAGTGTAATCGGAAGAGTTGAACTGACTCTCAAAAGACCGCTTCTCCAAGCTCATCCTGAATGGCGTGCCCGAATCGGCGGAGTGGACTTCAATCAGACAAACGAAGAACTACCAAACCAACTCGGGTGTTACGTCCGTGACTAGTCCCGACATGCGCTGTTTCCAAAACCGTCCTGGAACGGGTACTGCCGTTGTCGCTGCTGGTGATAACCTCGGCTTCGTTGCTGAGACATCGATTACGCACTTCGGACCAGTGCAGTTCTATATGGCGAAAGTACCAGATAGTGCGAATGTCAATACGTGGGAGCCGGCGGGTAACGTTTGGTTCAAGGCGGCGAGTATCAGCGCGGTGGGAAATCCCTTGACGAGTGGGGAGAGCACATGGCCTGCGTATGGTACGTCTTCATACCCCTCCTTGTAGCTTCCTTTCGCCTTCAGTTGCTAACGTTAGGGCAGGAAAGTCGCAAGTACAGTTCCAGATCCCTAAGAACGTGCCGAGTGGGAAGTATCTTGTCCGTGTAGAATCCATCGCTCTCCATCAAGCTCAGTCAGTCGGCGGCGCGCAGATGTATTTGTCTTGTGCGCAGGTCGAAATTACCGGGAGTGGTAATGGACAGCCTGGGCCTCTGGTTGCGTTCCCTGGAGCATACAATGCAAACGATCCTGGGCTGAGGTGGTCGTACTATCCGATCGCTACGAGCTACACTGCGCCTGGACCCGCTGTATGGAAAGGCAACTGAGTTGCTCCGGAACTGGTCGAAATGATGGGTTGCGCCGGCGATGCCGATGCGGAAGGTGTGGGAATATGTGTTGTGGGATCCTCCCTTTTGGCAAATTCTTTCTTCCATGAGTGGCCTTCTGCCTGAACCTCTTCTTTTCCCGAGCCTTTTGAGATTGTCATGCCGTACATTCTTTTCATACCAGATATCGCTCCTGTCTCCGCTTCTCTGCCTCCTCTTTCTTAGCTAGCACAAAGGCAACCTCAGACCCAATAGCAACTACAACTGTTGCTGCAATGCCAATGCCAGTTCCAATAGCCGCAAAGCCCAGAATGGTAAAACACGTGAACCCTGTGAAGATAGTGAGGTACATGACACGAAAGAAAAGTAGGAAGAGGCCGTCGGGTCTGCGCTTCATCGCGTGTGAGTGAGACAATTCTCGATGCCTCAGGGCGTTCAAGATATGGTACTTCTGAGGTGCTGCTATTTTGATCGTCTCGAGGCTGGGCTTCCGTTTTGGGATACGAGGTGATGTTTGATGCTGATCTTAGCTGGGCAGCACGGCCATTGAATTGTGGGGATGCGATTCCGCGCCAACCGAGCGATTGTGCACACGAAGGGAATAGCATCGTACCACAACGATCAAGTTGTTGATAACGCCCTATGACGAGGTGAAGCGCAGTCATCGCGGGGGCGTCAAAGCCACGTGACATGGCGTTCAGCAGCTTGCAGTGGCCGCGTCAGCTTGTCGACAATTGGCCCACGAGGGCGTGTCCTTATGCCAATACTAGGCCGGATGAGCGTGCCATCCTACTACCTATCTGTTTATAGCAGTGGCTATGCAGGCGAGGGGCCCGTTCAGGAAGAACAGACATGATGAAAAGACCCCTGAGGATTTCAGACCGGCCATGGACAGTGAGGGTACAATGCGTTGAACAGTGCGAATCGAATCGGAGATGAGGTTTCAATGCTTACGGCATGAGAATTGAGAGGCTTAGTTGCTCGCAGACAACTGCTCACGGATGCCGGTTTCCTGGAAGACATTGCGGCGGGCACAAGCGCGTTCGCTGACGTAATCGCTCTCCGAATCCGCCAGCAACCTTAACAGATTCGCAGGCTGAGGGTCGCATATACTAGAGAAGTATGCCAGATGCAAGACCATGGGTATCATAAGTGCATGGCTCGTGAAAGGCACGAGGAACTTTATGACCGCAAGAAGATGCCGTAATTGAGCAGCCTGCACTTTCAGATCGCGTCTCCGCACGTGTCGACGCGTTTGTCTTGGCGCGCGTGAAGCCGCTCGGTCGCCACTGGTTCACTCACACATTGCACAGCACACGAGCATCACAACACTACTCAGCCATGCGCAATTACTTCTTCAATGTTTAGAAATCCTCGAGAAAACCGCTCTTTGCCCGAATCGTCCCGATTAATACCCTCTACCGGTCGGGCTCCATCGCCACCCCGCTCATCGTCTCGAGTGGCAGACATGGCTGCCAAAACCGCAACGAAGAAGGCTGCGCCCAAGCCGAGCACGAAAGCGCCCCCACCAAAGAAAACCAGCGTTCAGACAACTTTGACGCCAGCCGACTTTGCTAAGAAGTCGCCCGCTGGCAATGGCAAGAAGCAGAAGCCGGCCGGGACTCCGAACGGCAACATCATGGCATTCTTCAAGAAAGCCGAGGAGATCAACAGCCGTATATTCCTACAAGAACGAGGGTCAAACCCAACGATAGTGCTCGACGGCGACGAGGACGACGTGGGCTGGAGCGACGAGAAGAGCAATGGCGTCATGACTACAGACAACAGCGATGAGCGGTACAACAAGATTGGTGGGAGCAACAAGAGGCGCAAAGTCAGCGAAGAGGCGGTAGCGCCTGTGCCGGCCTGTTCACCACCCCCGCCGGTTGATGTTGAGAGCAATGCTCTGGATGCATTGGCAGCCGACGTTTCTAAGCAAGCGCCAAAACTGCGGAAGAAGTCTGGACCCTTCGTAGACGACTCAGACTCCGAAGACGACGAAGTGGAAATGCCTGCTACAACTCCAGGTATGACCATACGAAGCCATAATGAGGAATCGCCAATGACTAAACCAACGGAGGACCTGTTACCCCCGGATAGTGCCGAACACTCCAGATACCACGATACCACACCCATAAAGTCCGAATCGACATCTCAACACGGGGGCGAAGAGTTGGAGGAATACGAAGATCTGGAAGACGACGATCTGCTCGAAGGCGAAGAATACGATGAAAGGCGATGGATGAAGGAACAACAGAAACTCGAGATGGAAGAGGCAGGCTTTGAGGGCGACCCGGACGATTTCGACGCGCCACCTCTATTCCCTGAAGGCGACGATACCGAAATCAAACACGAAGAGCCACATACCAATGATATACCTTCCTGTCCGATATGCGGCAACAATCTTCCAGGCCTGTCAGAACAAGACGTATCCGTACACGTCAATGCGTGCCTAGACGGCAACCCGCTCCCTTTACCTGTAGTGAAGTCTGAGGAGGAGAGCAAGCCGACCATGACGAGTAAAGCGAAAGTCTTCAAAAAGCCGGACAGACCAGCTAAACCTGGCCAAGCCAACCCGTTTCAGCTTGCGAAGCCCAGCGCTCAGCCAAGTTCAGCCTTTTCAAAGCTTATGGCCGGCCATGCTGAAGATGCTGCATGGGCATCTGCTGCAGCCGAGAACAACAAGTCTCGCGGCAAGCCTGCATACCAACGCACCTGCCCATTCTACAAAATCATGCCAGGGTTGTTCATTGCTGTAGACGCGTTTCGGTATGGAGCCGTCAAAGGTCAGAACGCCTATTTCCTGAGTCATTTCCATAGCGATCATTACATCGGGCTTACTTCCTCATGGAAGCATGGACCGATATACTGTAGCAAAGTCACTGGCAACTTGGTACGACAACAGCTTCGTGTGGACCCCAAGTGGGTGGTCGATCTGGATTTTGAGAAAAAGACAGAAGTACCAGGAACGGAAGGCGTCCACGTCACAATGATCTCTGCGAATCATTGCCCTGGCAGCTCTCTGTTCCTATTCGAAAAGGAACTTAGCAAGGGCAAGAACCCGAAGCTACAACGAGTGCTACACTGCGGAGACTTCCGTGCCTGTCAAGCGCACATCGAACACCCGCTATTACGCCCAGACGTCCTCGATGCTGTGAGTGGAAAGAATCGGCAGCAAAAGCTAGACGCTTGCTACCTTGACACCACCTACCTGAACCCCAAATACGCTTTCCCGCCTCAGAAGCAGGTCATCCAAGCCTGCGCGGACATGTGCGTAAGTCTCAGCAAAGTCCGCGCGGACGACTCCGATGGATGGGAGCAGATGAAGCGAGACCGCGCAGGCCAAGACATGGTCAAGTTCGTTCGGAAAGACTCTAATACCGACGCTACCGGCGAGCCCAAAAGCCCTGCACGAGGCCGACTTCTGGTTGTGGTAGGCACATACAGCATCGGGAAGGAGCGCATTTGCACTGGAATTGCGAAGGCCCTGGGAAGTAAGATCTTCGCGCCTGCCAACAAACAGCGCATCTGTAAAGCGCTTGAGGACCCTGAACTGGATGCACTACTTACGACAGATCCTCGGGCAGCTCAAGTACACATGACGCCGTTGTTTGAGATCCGCGCGGAGACATTGGACGACTACCTGCGCGATTATGCCGACACATTTACGCGCGTCGTCGGCTTCAGACCCTCGGGCTGGAACTATCGTCCACCAAAGGGTCGCTTTACCGAGTCACCCCAAGTACAAACCGTCTTACATTCCGACAATTGGAGAAGTACCTTCTCTATGAAAGAACTGACGCCGCAAGCCGGGAGTGGAAGTCGGGCAAGCTGCTTCGGTGTGCCGTACAGTGAGCATAGCAGCTTCAGAGAGCTGACTATGTTTTGCTGCGCTTTGCGCATCGACAAGATCATCCCGACAGTCAACGTAGGCAGCGCAAAGAGCAGAGAGAAGATGAAGGCTTGGTGCGACCGATGGGCGGCGGACAAGAAAAAGAACGGGCTGTTTAAACTGGGTGAAGACGGAGAGGGTTGGTCATAGTGAGATTTGATTGGCGTACGCATTGCAATAGTGGGCCCAAGTCTATGATTTGGTAGCGATTCTACCAACCTTGGCTCCACGCCAATGCCAATGATCTTTCAACATGACTCAGTCTCACTACATATTGATATTGGTTCTCTAGCATCTACTCGACACACTCATCTACGATATCCCCAAGTTCGCTTCCGCCATGTCGTCAATCATCCGCCTCCTCGTCCTTTCCGATACTCACTCCATTTGGCCCTACACCCCAGACTGCCCTGCACCTCCATGCGACATCCTCATTCACTGTGGTGATCTCACACAAGTTGGCGGTCTTCCCGCATACAAGAAGGCTATGCAAGACATTCAGACCGTCGACGCAGAGCTCAAACTCGTCATCGCCGGCAACCATGACCTCGATCTTGATGAAGAGTGGGTGCGCAAGAACGCTGAAGATGGAGAAGAGGAAGAAGATACAGAGGACAGTAGGAAATGTGTCAGTTTCATGAAGTCTCACGAGAAAGACGGTGTATACTACCTAGAAGAGGGTAGACATGAGTTCAAGCTGAAGGATGGGAGAAGCTTCAGTGTCTGGGCGAGTCCGTATACGCCTGAGTTTAACGGGCATGCATTTGCGTACGGAAAAGACGAAGATCGGTTCAGCAACATACCCGAAGATATCGACATCTTGATGACACATGGACCGCCTTCATTCACTGACGAACTCGGCTATGGTCTCGATGTCAATGTGAAAGGAGAGAGCTGTGGATGCAAGGTGCTAGGTGATGCAGTGAAGAGAGTGAAGCCAAGACTGCATTGCTTTGGGCATGTGCACGAAGGGAGAGGCGCTGTGAAGATGCAGTGGTCTGAGAAGGGAAATGGGAATGAAAGAGTAAAGATGCTGCCCGATGATGGGAGAAAGCTTAGCATAAGCAAAGAACTGGAGAGGACCAGATCTGTGCTAGTGAACGCGGCGGTATGGGGTGAATCAAAAGGCTGGACTATCAACCTCGACATTTAAAATTCCCACTGGCTTCCACCATACCCGAACAACTCCTGCCACCGCAACCAACACCAAGATGTATCAATCAATGGCCAGCCCCTACTCAGACAGTACCAGCGCAGACGAGACTCACGGACCCGCCGACCGCCTCGAGCATCTCGTACACAATCACGGAGTCGAACTTGTTCGCCACTCCCCAATCTTCAAACTCCAAAGGCGACTCGGACTTCCAGGCGCAGCTCTTCTTGTATGTCTTACTCTCATCATTTCGATCTACGTCGACATAACATTCGGCTACGGCGTATCCTCCCACGGCTTCTTGGGCAACAAGGCAGCCGATAATGTCATGGTTCTTCTGCTGATGGTGGTGGTCGCTTTCCTGTGGGTAATGGCTCGCATTTTCTGGGTAACGAAGTCGCAGAGGGAAGTCTCGGGACTAAGCAGGCATTCGTACATGTTGGGTAGGCAGCATGTCGCGAGGGGAAATGAGGGCGCGGATAGAGAGGTGATTGTCGTGGAGAGGCAGGATATGGCTTGAGTTCCTCATGTGCTGTGCCAGATGTCACTTATACCCATGCTATTTTTAAACGGTATGGACTTTCTGTAAAATGGAATTGAGATCTTGACAATTTTCATTAACTACCTTTGCATGTGTACCAGAGTATACAAGCCACCTCACCATCCGCGCACCTTTCATGGAGCTACTCTGAGCCATTATCGAAATTCTCAGCAGCTTCGCTCTTCCATTGCTTTTCACTCATCGCCACCTGACTGTCCTTCAGGATATTTGAGCCAGTACCGTTCTAGTGCAACTTTGAACGAAGGCGGGTGAAATTTGACTGTTCTCGCAAGCTTTTTCGGGAACTCCTCAAGATCTAACGTCTCTGAATCTTCCGATTCGTCACCCGCTTCTTCGCTGTTGATCGACTTCCAGAAGGCTTCCTCCCCGTAACGATGCTCAATCTCAAGTGTCTCGACGTTAAGATTGCGCACGGACTCCAACGCGGAGCGGTATTCCCAGTCTGCCGGGCTCTCGAATGATATGCACCGAGCCTGCTGCCCATAGCATTGTAGAAATGAGTACAAATTCTCGGCATTCATCCTAGTATTTCTCACAGTCAATTTGTCGAGAGCAGGCGTGTCGGAAGGCGAAGGAAGCGGAATGATCGGCCGAGGATTGATGAATTCGCTATGTTGGCTATGATTGACCACCAACGAGCGAAGGCGAGGAAAGAGACTTCTCGTGATCGACAGTCTGCCCTATCAAGCTGTTAGCACGAATAATAGGATGTCTCAGAACCGCGTTGCCAAAGCATAGCATAGGAGATATATACTAGTAACAAGTTAGCAAGATATCTTAAGAGCTATTCGTAGCGGCTACTTTACCCTTCTTTCTATATAATGGTGTTTGGTAGTAGGGGCAGTACATGTCTCTTAGGACAAGCGTTTCTACCTTTTGACTGGCTTTCGCGAAGATTACAGAGGGGATGTTAGTGATGAACGCGTGATGTTCATCGAGATCGACGGCCAGAGTCATCGTGCGGACTGTGATCTTCGATGCTACCATGGCATGAATGAGGATGTGAAGGCCAAGATGAGCTATATTACCGACATTCCTCATATCCTCTTCTTCGCGGAAGCGTGAGATACTTCGAAACTTCCGGAATAGGTTATGATATCGCCCGGGTCGGGTACGAGGCTGGTGGTAGAATCCGATATGGTCGAAGTTCTTGAAGCAGAACAAAGCCTGGGCTAAGACCTCTTGGAGGGCCCTCATCCCGGCCTCCTGGATGATACTCATAGAGTTGCAGGCTCTAGCCAGACGTGGAGGCGTTGCGGAAGTAGGAATGCCGCTACCGGTCATTGGAGATCCGTAGCCCTTCTGCTTCCAGATGCGGGGGTACCAAGAGTCTTCAGCCAATTTGATTTGAAGTAGATCTGAGTAAGAGTCTTGGCGTAGTTGATCCCACTCTGCCTGGTCCATCTGCATCGTATCTGCCCCATGCTCGAGTGGGTACCCCGGGGGCACTTCAGCGCAGGCTATGATAAGTTTCGTAACCCAAGGAGCCAGATGCTCGCATGTAGACACCGCAATAAGGTTGGATATACTCTGACCCGATCTCAGATCGAATATCGTTTCGCCCAGGTAAGCACCGAAAGCCTTCCATGAACAATTACGGAAGCGACGGCTCGTGAGGCGAAATGCAAGCGAACACGCTTGCTCCTCTTCCTGAGCGTATCGATAGACAACAGACCCACTGTCTTCGTCTTCGGTAACTGGCGGTACAGCATGTTTTGCAACTTCCAGCAGTATGCACTCTAGTAACTCGGCGGGCAGCTTCTCGATAGGCGAAGTGTCTGTCCTTGGCAGAGTCGTTGGATTCATAAAGGGTATTGCGCTTGCCGTGTCGATTGTGGAATGTAGACGGCCGAATTTGGTTTGAGGAAATGCGATCAGCAAAGGATAGAAGGCTAAATGTTAGGGCAGGTGCGAGGAATAAGCGGGTCGACTAGGCATCCGCGCTAGGATCTGTGAGAAACCATGGAAATGAAAGAACGCGAATACCCTGAAGTCACAATCGAGATTGCATAATTCTGCACTTCAGGGCTATTTCCGATTGACGAAAGATCTTAGTGGATACTTGAAGAGATCGATTACTATTCCAGGGACAAACTTCACGTAGCACTCACCTCAGCTACCGTCGCGCTCACTTCGACAACCGCTACCGCCGGCTCCTTCTCCTTCTTTAGTTTATCTTGTATAGCCTGATAATTCCGGCTCATGGCATTCCTCGTAAACTCCTCACCCGTCACCATTGGATACTTCTTCAGTGGGCCCTGGATCTTGGCGTCTTTGCATGGCTGATTGAAGAAGGCGATGCTGTAGCGCTCGCCGTAGAAGTCATCAGGCTCACATGGTGCCTTGACACGATGAAAGGTCGACTTGAAGCGGTCATCCGACCACGACATAAGGAGGTCACCGACGTTGCAGACTGTGGAGCATGAGTAGAGGTTTCATGTCGACAGAGCGCATCAACATACCGATTGCGTTCTTGCCTGCGTCCGGCTCAACCTTGGTCCACGCATCCCCGTACCCGAACGAAGTTGATACTTCCCGCCCCGGACAGATTTCAAGACCAGACTGCCCTGCTTTCTGGAACAGCAGAGTCAAGAAGTCCCAGTCGGCGTGTGCGCCCGCTCGATGATGCACCTCTCCTGTTGGATTTGGCACCTGTGGAGTCTCAAAGTAATGTAATAATCGGCAGACAGTCTGAGACTCTGGTCGGCTGACATCGTGAGCTTTGACGAAGTAATCTTCCTCGAAGTTCAACCCTCGCGCGAAGCACCTCATGAGCCTCTCGCTGACTGCCTGTACTCTGTGCATGAACTCCAAAGCCTCTGCTCGGAACCCCGGAAGGGTCTGGTCACTCAGCCATCGACCTATCCAACGATCAGCACGGCCATACACATAAGACGATAGAAACCAGCTCACCGTTCATGCCTTCGCCGAATTGCATTTGATAAGACTCTTTGCGGTCGACTGCACCAGTAGATGGCCGGATTTGAGCATTCTTCTCCCATCCGGCGTTGTGTTGAGGGGAGAATGGCACTTGCGATTTCACGGGATCGGGCTGATTGAAGAAACGCGCTGACTGGTTGAAGATGCCGTCGACAGCGTCGCGTGTTATGCCGTGGTCCACGATGCAGAAGAAGCCGTGGTTCTCTGCAGCATCGACAAGTTCCTTTGTAATCACATCGATGCGCGCATCGAAGTCGCGGAGGGAGATTGTCGGCACAGGGCGATCAACATACTTCGTCGGTGCCATAATGAGAGAATTGATATTTGAGCTGATTGACGTTGGTGAGTTTGATATATGACCGTAGTGTCTTGAGGGCAAGCTGTACCTATTCTTATGTTCGGTCATCTTTGCTTCTACGCATGTAGTGTCGCAATATGCGTTCAGGCGTGCCAAAGCCGACGCGGCCAGGGCGGCCGCTCACATCGGCCGTCATCACCAACACGTGTGTCCTGCTTCTTAGATAGGCGCCCGCAGCCTGCGAGACGGAAGTCGCGGTCGAGATGAAGTGGGGCCGAGGCCAGATTGTGGAAGGTTCCGCGTTGTCGGCCGCACCCTGTTCATCTTCCTTCCCCACCACAACTGCACACCGATAGCCAACTGATAGCCAACGCGCCTTGCCAATCACCGGGAACGCGATGCTGAGAAAGACGGTCTCATCGCATCGAGATGTTCTCGATCGCGACACCTAGTTCACGACCGACACGGTCAACCTTACCATGGACGACAGCAGCACCTCGAAAGGGCCGAGACCCCGTCTCACATGTACAGAGTGCTATAGAAGGAAGATCAAATGTGATAAGAGTGTGCCTTGCAGCACATGCATTCGAAGGTCAGCTCCTCCGTTTCCATGGCAGTCTAGTATCCGCGAGTCTTCGACAAAGACTGAGCCTGCGCGACTGTGGATTGCTTTTCGCTGGGAACCCAGAGCTTCTTGGTACTGCGCAAGCTGCCCGGACCATCTCATGCTAAGTAAAGCAGGGGATATGCAAGCTTCTGTACGAGAGAAGACGCGGCTGTGACATCCTCAGTACCACCACCACCCGCCTACCAAGCTCAAGGTGCAGCGACAGCACCTAACGATCTAGTGCGCGCTCTACTCGACCGCGTAAGTCAGCTTGAAGCCAAGCTACAGGAACAATGTGATATGGCCTCAAGCGAAGCACCCTTACCTCTGGAAATCTCTGATACACCAGCGAGTCCAGTTCATAATGCAGCGACCACTTCACCTCTTGACAATAACGCGTCACAATCTGCGGACACTGATGATGCAGCTACCGTATTGGAATTTCTAGCATGGGGCCGTAAGAAAGACATCGACTATGGGACATCACCAGAGCAGAACAGCGGGCCACGGCGACTGAGTATCAGGGATGAGGATGAAGCGATTACATCCAGTATGCTATATGAAACCAGCAAAGATGCACAGCTTGACGTACTTGAAGCGCTTCTTCCGAACAAGACTCATATCGTCCAGCTTGTGGAGTACCACAGTACCACCATCTTATGGTACCACGGGTCTTACTCCTCAGCCATATTCAAAGAAGACCTGAATATCTTTCTTGGAGACTACGAAGGCGACGTCCGGCACCAAGGCTTGAATCTGCAATGGCTTAGTTTACTATTCGCCATCGTAACAGGCAGTATCACATGTGCACCGCCATCTGTATATCAGTCTTGGGGTTTCTCATCAGAAGAGAGGAAGGTCTTGTCACAAAGATGGTACGAAGCGACTGTGACGTGTCTCGAAATCGCTGGCTACATCGAGGCTCATACCATCTACTCTGTTCAAGCCATCGCGACGTTGACCATTGCGGCTCATATACTTGGCAAGTCGAGCAGTCAGTCGATACTGCTCGCCTCAGCTGGTCGTATTGCCCAGAGTCTTGGGTTGCACCGACTTGGACCAGAAAGCTCGGCCTCTGCCACCTCGAAGGAGCAGCTACGCCAGCGTGAAGCCGGTCGACGAGTCTTCAATCAGCTTTGCACGCAAGATTGGTTCCAGATTCCGTTCTCCGAGTCATATTCGCTCAATCCTCGCTTCTTTACTACCGCAAAGCCGCTGAACTGCAATGACAACGACATGGTACCGCATCCATTGAGCATACCCACCCAAGCGAGCTATTGCAACTATCGCTATGAAATTGCAGCGCTTATGCCGCAACTCCTAGATGCGATGACAGGCTGTAACACGCTTTTCACGAAGTATGAACAGGTGCTACATTACGACGAGAAGATGCGCAAGCTTGCGACTGCATGTATACCTACATTTCTATCAACGAATGCGCCGGTGGCGACCGATTGGCCTATCTATGTTGGCTGGGCTAGACGCTCGCTGACTATATGTGCTTCACACAAGATCATCATGATACATCGAAAATTCATCGGTCTCTCCTTCACCAATTCCGCGTTTCAATTCACTCGGCGTACCTGTATCGCGGCGTCGAAGACCATATTGAAAGAGGCACTATCAGGCAGCGATGAGCATGGCCCAATACTATGGATCGAGCAAGCCTTTTCAGTCGCAGCGGGTATCATTCTCAGTCTCGATACCCTTCATCGGTCGGCCAGTGACAGAGAGTTTGACGAGCACAGCAGACTTGTTGCTGACACAATCGGTTATTTGAGTAGATTCGAACATAGCAAGATTGCCTCGCGCGGCGTGCGATTGCTGTCGGGATTGCAGCGCGAGCTCCAGGGTGGAGGCGTGAACAGCAAGAAGCGTGCACGACCTGCGGACAGTCTTGGAATCCCGTCGCCGTTGGGCAAGCGAGCCCGCAGATTTAACGTGGAGACCTTCATCAGCGACGTAGCCCAAGACTTGCAGGTAACAACCCCCACGTCATCATCGACCGAAGATGTTCCTATAGGCGTGGGAGATACTTCATGGAACTCTTTCATGAACTTGCTACCGCCACAAACAGGCTTTGGAGGGCAAAGCCTGTTCGATGACTTGCTGTCATTTCAATTCTGAATTCATATATACTTTAACGACATGTGGTTTCGTGCACCTACATCGCTCCTTTTCCGTATGTCTGCCACTGACATCTTTGCTTTCTGTATGATCGTCTCCTCATCAATGTGCAGCAACTTGCCGTTACTGACAAGCAACTGACCATCTACGAGGACTGTATCGACATCAGCACCAGAAGAATGAATCAGCACTGTGATCGGATCAATGTTTCCGGAAGCCTGCTCGTTCGGGTCCCAGGGAGCACAAGATACGCCTTTTGGTTCAACAACGACGATATCCGCTTTCTTCCCAACCTCCAAGCTTCCGATCTCGTTTTCTAGTCCTAGCGCCCTTGCGCCGTTGATCGTCGCGAACTCCAAGACATCATACGCGCTGAGGACTCCAGCATTTTGTCTGACGCCGCCATGTAGAATGGACGCTAGATGCATCTCCCGAAACATATCGTACGTATTATTACACGGTGCACCATCAGTCCCCAGAGCTACATTCACACCGCTGGCCACCATGTCTGGTATCGGTGCCACACCAGACCCAAGTTTGAGGTTGCTTGTAGGGTTATGCGAGACAGTGCTTTTACTTTCCCGCAATATGTCGAAGTCCCCAGCCGCTGGGTCCGGATGTACGCAGTGAGCGAAGACTGACTTCGGGCCCGTCAGCTGCGTATCTCGGCAGAACTCGAAAGGGCTGCATTGGTAATACTGTCGGTAGATCGGCAAGTCTTTAGGAGCTTCCGCGCAGTGCATAGTGAGACCGATGTCGTGTGCTCGCGCTGCTTCGCCGATCGTGGCGTGGACCGCCATGGGTGAGCCTCGAGGGGTGCCCGCTGCGAACCACATGTGTAGACGGTCGTTGGAAGAGCCATGGTACTTCTTGTGTGCTGATAGTGCAACTTCCACAGACATTGAGTCCACGTCCCGATCTCGGGCATCTTTCATGTTGAGATCTGAGTTCGTCTCGCCGACTTTGATCAATTTGCCCTAGCAGCTAGGTCAGCTCGTCAAATTGATGCTGCTTCGCCGCACTCACCAAACACGCACGGATGCCAGTTTCTTCCACTGCTCTGACGACGTTCTCAAGGCCACTCCTATGCGTGAGCATAGCCTCAAGAAAACATGTCGTTCCCGTCTTCAGCATCTCCGCGATCGTCAGCATTGAAGCCACATAGCCATCGTCTTCGGCGTAGTTGGCCTCCAATGGCCAGATTGCATCACATAACCAGTTGTGCAATGGGAGATCTTCGGCTAGTCCACGGAGCAGTGATTGCGCAAGATGGGCGTGTGTGTTAACCAAGCCCGGTATGATGATCTTGTTCCTGCAGTCCACGATATCAAGATTTCTGTCCTCATACTGGTTGACTTTATCGATGAGATCAGATGTCTTTCCGAGTGCTGTGATACGGCCGTTTTCAATGAGGATTGCGCCATCGAGTATGATTTCCCGGCTCTTATTGACAGTGACGATGGTCGCATTCGTCAAGAGGCGTAGCGGCGCTTGACTTGATCTTGCCATATTCTTTCGAAGTATGATACCGCTGGCTAAGATCTACGAGGATGCTAGGTGCGGCGTTAGGAGGTTTTGTGAAGGTGTAGGTTCAAGTTTCTAGGAGATCTCATCCGTCCCTAATCTCGTCAATGAACTTAGAATCTAGGCGAACGATTACTTCACGCGATTACTCTCAACATCCTATTTGCATGGTCACGACTTCCCATAGGCGTGCGCTGACAGTCGCCTCCGCCGCTCTCCGCTTTCGCGCCTTCGCTAAGGTGACATGGGGCGGCCGACGCTAGCGATATCTCCCCTCTTATCTAGCTCACGTACTCTGTCACCCGTCACACATCTCACGGCATACGCACAAGTATCATCGCAGTGTTATCAGGTACAAGCAATAGCCGGATTCCGATGGGCTGGTTATCGCGGGGTTTACAAGCGCAGAAACGCCTATCGTGGGAAGGGCTCCTGCCGATCTAGAACCACGAGTCAACAATGGCTAATAGGTTGATATATAACCATGCAGCTCGATTTTGAAATGCATTTACCGCGAGAACTCAGTCAGCATACTGGAATCCCACTGGGTTGAGTAGGAGTAATCATGGTCATCGACTCCCGGAGCGAGATGGAGCCGAAGTCCAAGTACGCTGAAGAAACGGGTCAATACTCGTCCACCGAGAGTCAAGAGATAGGCACAGTGACCACGAAGTGGCAGGATACGCTCGCGGAGATCAAGTATGCTTTCACGACGAAAGATGGATGGATCGGCGACTATGTATGTCAATACTTAACCTACCCGACTATCTGCCATAGGTAGCTGATAACCCCAGGACTACGTATACTTGATCACTCCCAACATCTGGCCCTTGAACAGAAAGTACAAAAACTACCAAGCGCCATTCTACGGACTCAACGACCGCGTACCCGTTCTCTTGACAGTACTCCTTGGCCTTCAGCATGCACTCACCATGATCGGGTCCATTGTGTCACCACCACTCGCAATCGCCTCCGGGGCGTTCAACTTCGAGCCAGCTATGACGACGTACCTGGTCTCGACAGCCTTCATCACCACAGGTATTGCGACAGCCCTGCAAGTTACTCGGCTGCATATCATGAAGACGCCATTCTTCATCGGCACAGGGCTTTTGAGCGTCGTGGGACCAACATTCGACATCCTACCCATCGTCTTCAACTACGCTGCTTTACGATACAAGTCCGGCTCTTGTCCAGTTCTTGAAGACGGGACTCAAGGGCCATGTCCTGACGCATGGGGTGCATGCTTAGGCACTATGCTGTGCTGTGTCTGGATCCAGATAGCCATGGCTTTTGTACCGCCCAAGATGCTCAACAAGATCTTTCCCAAGCTCATCACTGGATCACTTCTGACCCTCATTGGAGTCTACCTCGTTGGTAACGGACTGCAGAACTGGGGCGGATCCTCGAACTGCCACGGAGGAGAGGGTTTCTACGCTCTGTGTCCGGATATCACTGCGCCACGACCGCTCGTATGGGGGCATCCGAAGCTGATCGGCTTAGGGTTCAGTGTGTTTGCTACTATCATCTTGGTCGAAGCCGTCGGTGCGCCACTCATGCGCTCAGCTTCGGTCATTATCGGTTTAGCTGTAGGATGTGCCATCTCAGGCGCAACAGGCTACTGGTCGACGGCACAGCTCAACCAAGCACCCGGCGGAACCTTTCTTTGGGTGCACACGTTCAAGCTCTCCGTTGATGGCGCGCTAGTACTACCCATGATAATCATGTTTGCTTGTCAAGCCGTGTCTTGCATTCCCGATATCTTGGCCACTGCAGAGCTATCAGGTGTTGACATCGAAGGAACGGAGTTCAACAGCAGGATCCAAGGCGGCATTCTGTGCGACGGACTCGGAAGCTTCTTCAGTGCACTGGCTACGGGCCCACCGATGGTCAGTCAAGCAGGCAACAACGGCGTTATTGTTCTCACCGGTTGTGCATCTCGCCGTGCAGGATGGGCAGCAAGTGGCTTCCTGATCCTTATGGGGGTCATTGCGAAGTTCGGTGCTGTCTTCGCTTCTATGCCGCCGTCTGTCCTCGGCGGTATGCAGGTATTCCTTTACAGCACCATTGCTGTGGCCGGTATCCGTGTCCTCGCACTCATCCCATGGACCCGCCGCGATCGCTTCATCCTCGCAGTCTCCTTGGGCATTGGGTTCATGGACATATGTCAACCCGACTGGTTTTCACAGGTTTTATCGTACGATGGGCCGAATGAGAATCTGGTAGGATTCGAGCAGGGCATCAACCTTGCTGTGGAGACTCCGTTTGTCATTGCTGCTATTGTTGGTATATTCTTGAACGCTGTACTGCCGAAGGACAAAAGCGCGGCGCCGATGGTAGGATACGGTGATGAACAGAAACATCCTAGGATAGGGCAACGTGAGGATTAGACATATATCACAGATATTAAGAGGCTTTTTCCTGAGTCATGGCGTGATGTTCTTCTTTGTGTATTCGTCTTTATGTGATCGATCTTGTATGCATACGGCGGTGTCTCGGTACCGCTGCTGTCACACAATGATTTTCATCGCTTATTGAAGCGACGTCTATCTATGGAGATGATAACTTGCTACCTGCGGAGAGGACTTCCAGATTCCATCCTGCCACCAGTCTCGCTCTACCTTCTGCCTAACCATCCAGGCATCCAATATATGCCTTAACATCCCACTTAACACGCGACCAACATGCCACTCTATTCGGTCCTTTTCCACATTCCTCGTCGGCCTCCCGACCCCACAACCGCCCCATCACAAAGCACATCCAAGTTTCATAGTGGCCTCGCGTGGAAGTGGTATGTGGTTTCGAATAGTCTTCGGCGCGCGGCAGAAATGCGGATACCAACGACGATGCGGTGTGGGTAAGGGCTTAGCCGAATCGAACATCATTTGCAAGAATGGGGGAGGTTGGTCTGTGAAGATCTTCAAGGCTAGGAATTCTCGGCTGCCCTGCCGAGTTACATCGGCGGACGGCAGGTAAAATATCGCAGCAAGGCGAAAGTGGAGATAGTGAAGCGGAGAGTGGAAATGCGAGTTTTCCCTTGAAGTGGGTTTTGACCTGACATGGCCAACGATAGGAGTTTTGGAGATTACGATGGTGATTCATGGCATTGATGATGATATTTTTAAAAACGAGGCTGTGCCAAAATTATCATTACCTACCTCCACCTCGGAGTAGACCGACCGAGAAAGAATACATAGTAACAATACACGCAGTACTCGCCAAACCGGTCCTTTCCTAGACCCCAACGACCAATTCTCCCGCTTCTTCTCCCGCTGCCCCTGCCCTCTTGGTTCTCACGACCCTGTTCCCGAACGCTGATCATCAATGCATTGCATGCGTATCAAACAACGCGCGCTCGCGCAATCGTTCAGATCGGTGAGTGACCTCGTACAATCCACTTTTTAGCATTGTAGCAAAGCATGACTCGCCAAGCAAGTTGACGAGTCGGATGCATTAGTCAGGGAGGGTAGACGTTGGAAACTTGCTTGGCCAAGACACATGGGACAGCAACTGGGTGATGGGTGGGTTCGTTCACTGGGATTGGGAACAAAACGCACTGTGGGTAAGTCGCTTGGGGGAACATTACGATGAAACCAGGGGTCAGGGGGCGGTTTGCTGGGATTCTGGTGGTCGGCGACTATTCCGCCCGGGTTAGTGTTAGTCTGCTGTCGTCGTCGTAGTGGTGGCTGATGGAAAGTGCCGTAAAGTGTGCGTAGTAGTCTTGTTTAGAGCACGCACACGCGGCAGAGAAAGTGTGACATCTGGAAAGAAGGTTTGATGTATCTGCGGTATGCAAAAGCTGCATGTTCACGTTACATATTGCCCGCCGCGTTGTGACATGATGCAGTAGCGTACGTTTTTTCCACGCTTATCCCCCTTCCTTCGCTCCCATGTCAGATCCCATTGATCTCTAGCGTCTTCTCCACAATCATGAAAAGCGTTCCATTCGAGCCAGGCTGGCAGGGCGGCTTACTGCAGGGGGCCGTGCGTTGCAAGGTTAGCTTTTATTTTTTTCACATGCCGAAAAGTTCAGGGGACGAGGACGCTCGAGCGGTTTTTACCTCGGGATCTTTCCAGGCTGGCGGGTGGGAGGGCGTGTGCCTCGATATTGACCCTTGGAGCCGCGAAACCCGGATTGAAAAGACCGTTGGATTTATTGTCTATACTATTGACAAACCAGGTTGGAAGGGACCCTGTTGCATCTGTGTACTAAAGTTGCACGCATGGTGCGGTCCGGTTACCCAAACTGTTACAAGATCAACGTCGTCAACGTCGCATCGCATTGACTTGCTCGACGATCAGGAACAACGGCTAACTGCTTTTTACAAACGGTACGAGAAGCGGGTAGAAGGATGGAAGGTCGAGACGGACGGTAGGCCATCCCCACGTGCGACATGGCGATTGGTGCTTTTGCCAAACCGGCCCGTTTGAACGTTCTGGGTTCATCGAATTAGTAAAGCCTGGTGGCTGGGATGCTTTTGAGTGGTGATCTCAAGAAAGATGCATATGACGCGTGTATGTTAATGTACGATCACTTTCTCTTTTGGTATAATGTAAGGTGTCGGACGGCACCGGTGGGACTGAAGCAGGGTGAATAGATTGAGTGGGGATAGCTGGCGCGCTTATGATGTAACTTCAAGATGCCAATGTTGAAACTCGATACTGTTCTTGGAACAACTGGGCCTTCGAAGGTTTGATAGAGCGGCTGGGTACGTTGGCTTTGTTGTTGAGGTTATCATTCGTAGGCTGGGACACGAGAAGTGGATACCGTGCTCCGTATCATCATGAATGAGGAAGGTCAATAATATACGTTGCGATAATGAGGGTACAGTGTCTTTGTTCAGAGTATTATTACAGTGATGGTGTTTACGCTAGTTAATATCGCTAGCGGCGCGTAATCGTCATTGCGGTCGTGCTTGCAGGTATCGCAAGATCAGCGTATTGTACAGGCGCGCTTGTTGCAGCGCTTTTTGGGGGACTCCCGTCTC